TATAAAATCGATATAATTTTTTTAAAAATAGCTTACTATGATCAAAACCCAAAAATGCTTTGAATTGCATTTTAAAACATATCTAGGTATTAAAAATGATAAAGAATGCTAATATAGATATAAAATCGATATAATTTTTTTAAAAATAGCCTACTATGATTAAAAACCAAAAATGCTTTAAACTGCATTTTTAACATATCTAGGTTTTTTAAATGATAAAGAATGCTGTATAGATATAAAATCGATATAATTTTTTTAAAAATAGCCTACTATGATCAAAAACCAAAAATGCTTTAAACTGCATTTTTAACATATCAAGGTTTTTTAAATGATAAAGAATGCTGTATAGATATAACATCGATATAATTTTTTAAAAAGGGTTACCGACAATTCCCCACTGTAATTTCGCCACTTTACATTTGGCCACTGACATTTCACCACCACTACATTTTGCCACCTGTACATTTTGCCACTATTTATTTGCCCACTATTTATTTGCCCACTATTTATTTGCCCACCTGTTTTTTTCGCCACTGCTTTTTTCGCCACCTTTTATTTGGTCACTATTTATTTGCCCACCTGTTTTTTTCGCCACTGCTTTTTTTGCCACTAATCATATGGCCACAAGTTTATTTGCCCACTGATTTATTTGCCCACTAAAGCAAATGATAAAATAAAAAATTGTAAAAAATATTGAAAAAATTTTGTTAAAAAAACATGAAATTTTTAAAATTATTTTTTGGAGCATTTATGGAATAATTGGCCATATTTGGGTGTTCTGAAAAAATCATGCGACCGTACGTAAATGTGCTTGAAGGTGTAACGATATATTGAGATTTGAATAATCTCTCTTCTCTGGCTTGGACTTATCATCACTTATCCACTCTTGCTTCCTTCATTTATTTTATTCTATTTTTCCTTACTAGTTTTTATTAATTTTAATGTTTAAAAAGCTTTAAAGGTTTAATTAACTCTCAATTTACTATTTCATCATTCTATGAGATAATTTGAATAGAAATTAAACGTGACGTAAGGATGCTGGGTTATAAGTCCAGAGATTATAAGTCCAGGTACAAAAATCGTGCACAGAAAATTATAAGTCCAGAAAATCAAAGTCAATAAAGGTTTATAAGTCCAGATACAAATTGCACCTGGACTTAAAAACCTCACCTGCAGTTTATAATGCCAGAAAATTTAAAAATTTTACTTATAACCTCCCAGTGCGATTATAAATCCAGATACATTTTTCTGGACTTATAATCCTTGAAAATTATTTGATATTATTTTAAATTTTTTCATTTAAAGTAATTCTTCACATGAATTTTTGAAAACTTCACAAAAAGAATTCACATTTCTCTGATTTTTTTTCCTCTAAAGTACCATATAGGGTAAATTAAAATTTGCGTGTTTTGAGACTTGGAATTTTCAAACGCTTGTAACTAATCGACGAATTGACATTGTGACCTACTAATGGTCTTGAAATGTTAAAAGTCGTCGATATTTTTATTTTTGATCATGTAAAGGTTTTTGCGCTGCATCAATTCAGAGAAAATTGACATTTAAGTTTTCATTTTGAAATTTGCGCAAAAATATTTTGAAATTTGCGCACTTTTTTGATAGTAATCTTTACCTTATACTATTTAGCATCAAATTACAGCTGTACTAAAATTACAGCTGTAGATTACAGATGAACTTACGTCGTTACGTAAAAATCAATTTACAGCTGTAGTTTAATGTGTATAAGTAAAAACAGTAGTAAATATAGATGGTGTTTATAGCTTAGACAAGTGCTTAGCTGTCCTTACAGTTAATGTAATTTTTCGTAAATTCTGCTGGTTTTGACTATGATTTTACCTTTAACAAAAAGATTGAATAGAAAACAAGGTACAGTAGCGTGTAAAAATTTATAAAAATCACATTTTTCGCTCTGGATGTTAACATTTAAAATATAAATAATACAAGAATAAAAAGGGGAAACAAAATCCTCTTTGCTTTGTTTTCTCACAGAATGCAAAAAACTGATTTTTCAATCTGAACAAAACCAATTGATTCACACGTGAATACGGTATGAATATAAAAATTTGAAATTATATCAAATAATTTTCAAAGATTATAAGTCCAGAAAAATGTATCTGGATTTATAATCGCACTGGGAGATTATAAGTAAAATTTGTAAATTTTCTGGAATTATAAACCACACGTGAGGTTTATAAGTCCAGATATAAAATGTACCTGGACTTAAAAACCTCTCGTGCAGTTTATAATTCCAGCAGTATCTGTACCTGGAATTATAAACTGCAGGTGAGGTTTTTAAGTCCAGGTGCAATTTGTATCTGGACTTATAAACCTTTATTGACTTTGATTTTCTGGACTTATAATTTTCTGTGCACGATTTTTGTACCTGGACTTATAATCTCTGGACTTATAACCCAGCATCCTTACGTCACGTTTAATTTCTATTCAAATTATCTCATAGAATGATGAAATAGTAAATTGAGAGTTAATTAAACCTTTAAAGCTTTTTAAACATTAAAATTAATAAAAACTAGTAAGGAAAAATAGAATAAAATAAATGAAGGAAGCAAGAGTGGATAAGTGATGATAAGTCCAAGCCAGAGAAGAGAGATTATTCAAATCTCAATATATCAGAGATCGAAGCCGATTTTTTCGGTTTTACTCAATTTTTGATTTTTTTGATAGGAAAAAGCCATTTAACACCCATTTTAAGTATTTAAATTGAACTTTACATGCTTTACTACGATTCTGTGAAATATTTTTTCAGCATGTAGCTATAGTAAGCTCTGAATTTTAAGCCGATCGGCTTAAATTTCGGCTTAACATTCTTTAACTTGAAATTCTGAGCTCACTATAGCTACATGCTGAAAAAATATTTCACAGAATCATATTAAAGCATGTAAAGTTCAATTTAAATACTTAAAATGGGTGTTAAATGGCTTTTTTCTATCAAAAAAATCAAAAATTGAGTTAAGCCGAAAAAATCGACTTCGATCTCTGCAATATATCGTTACACCTTCAAGCACATTTACGTACGGTCGCATGATTTTTTCAGAACACCCAAATATGGCCAATTATTCCATAAATGCTCCAAAAAATAATTTTAAAAATTTCATGTTTTTTTAACAAAATTTTTTCAATATTTTTTACAATTTTTTATTTTATCATTTGCTTTAGTGGGCAAATAAATCAGTGGGCAAATAAACTTGTGGCCATATGATTAGTGGCAAAAAAAGCAGTGGCGAAAAAAACAGGTGGGCAAATAAATAGTGACCAAATAAAAGGTGGCGAAAAAAGCAGTGGCGAAAAAAACAGGTGGGCAAATAAATAGTGGGCAAATAAATAGTGGCAAAATGTACAGGTGGCAAAATGTAGTGGTGGTGAAATGTCAGTGGCCAAATGTAAAGTGGCGAAATTACAGTGGGGAATTGTCCTACACTCTTTAAAAATAGCCTACTATGATCAAAACCAAAAATGCTTTAAATTGCATTTTAAAATACATCTAGGTATTATAAATGATAAAGAATGCTAATATAGACATAAAATCGATATTTTTTTTAAAAAATAGCCTACTATGATCAAAACCAAAAATGCATTGAATTGCATTTTAAAACATATCTAGGTATTATAAATGATAAAGAATGCTAATAAAGATATAAAATCGATATAATTTTTTTAAAAATAGCCTACTATGATCAAAACTAAAAATGCTTTAATTTGCATTTTTAAACACATCTAGGTATTATAAATGATAAAAAATGCTATATAGATATAAAATCGATATAATTTTTTTGAAAATAGCCTACTATGATCAAAACCAAAAATGCTTTCAATTGCATTTTTAAACACATCTAGGTATTATAAATGATAAAGAATGCTAATATAGATATAAAATCGATATAATTTGTTTAAAAATAGCTTACTATGATCAAAACCCAAAAATGCTTTGAATTGCATTTTAAAACATATCTAGGTATTAAAAATGATAAAGAATGCTAATATAGATATAAAATCGATATAATTTTTTTAAAAATAGCCTTCTATGATCAAAACCCAAAAATGCTTTGAATTGCATTTTAAAACATATCTAGGTATTATAAATGATAAAGAATGCTAATATTGATATAAAATCGATATTTTTTGAAAATAGCCTACTATGATCGAAACCAAAAATGCTTTAAATTGCATTTTAAAACATATCTAGATATTTATAATGATAAAGAATGCTAATAAAGATATAAAATCGATATTTTTTTTGAAAATAGCCTCCTATGATCGAAACCAAAAATGCCTGCTGGAAGTGCGTCGGGCCAACTTCGAATTTTGAGCTGAAACTTTGCCAGTTTAAAGACATTTTTGCGACTCTTTTCGACATCTAATTACCTTTTTTCCACACCCCTTTGTTTTCGACATATCGGAGTTTCAATTTTAGGCAAAAAGCCCGACTAACTTCACGTTTCTAGTCGGGCCAATTTCTGAAAAATAATTTTATTAGACATGTTATATATCGAAATTAAAGTTCTTTTTACGACAGTTTTCGACACACAAACCGTTTTTAAATCTGATCATTTCTTGCTGAGGTATGGGTTCCCAAAGTTTTGCCTGCTGTTTCCATGGACCAAAAAAATCAAATTTTACTAAAATTGTCAATTTATTACAAATCTTTTATCAAAATGCATCTTCTTTTCATGACTAATCCAAATATTTTTCAATCCAGTTGTTATCTGTCGACTTATAGCATTTCAAGTGACCAGTCATAGATCCGATCTCAAAGGATTTTTTTCCAAATTTTCTCAAAAAACTTTTATTTTATCTTTTTTTTTAACTTTCTGATATTTGTTTGAATTAAAAATATAAGTTTTGAAAATAATTTTGTGAGTTTGTAATTTCCATTATAAAGAAATGCATTATTTTCATTTTTTCCGACGCACTTCCAGCAGGCACTTCAAGTCGTTATTCAGAAATTTGCAAAAAATGTAGTTTTTCGGAGAAAAATTCTTTAAACAAATTTAAACAGTTCTTATATATTTTTTTGTTTTTAAAAAATAATTTATTTGTAATGATTATTTTTATTATTTCAAGAATGCTTCTTGTGGTATTTTACTTTCTTTAAATAATTCTTGGAAAACATACAAGGCTCTATTAAAGTCCCACTGGGTTTCTTCTAAACACTTTCTGCTCCATTCAACATTCATATTACTTTGATGAGACATCATTTCAATCATTTTTAATTTATTTGATTCATCTGGTTGTGGTTGTTGAACAATTGTTGACTGGAAAGATGAATTTAGTGGTTGAGGATCAATAGTGCTGTTAAAAGCATTTCTGATTTGTGCTGGACTGGCATTGTTGATGTGTAAAAGCTCATTTCTTATGCAAAATCCTCCATTATTTGGAACAATGACCAATGTTTTTTGAAAAGTTCTAACAAATTCAGTTCTATTATCTGAATTCTTTTCTTTAAACAAGCCTGTAACAGTCATGACTATCATTTGAGGCTGAAATAAAGAAGAAACAATAATTTGTATATTAATTTTGTCGACTTCTTCATACAAAAAAATTACCGAGCCGAACCCGAGAAAATGAAGTCGACTCGAAAAAACACGAGTCGACTTCGAGCTCTGTGTTTAAGGCAAATTTAATACTGGGGGTCCTCGATTTGAGCAAGTGTTTTGTTCTAGAAAAATCCTATACAAATCGAATCTACTCAAATCGAATTACTGGGGGTCCTCGATTTGAGTAGATTCTATTTGAGTAGATTCGATTTGAACAGAAAATTTATTACCCACCAAAATATTCGATTTGAGTAGATTTCTTCCTGTTTTCTTCGATTTGAATTGTTTACAAAACAAATATTTTTGATAAAAACATTTCAGAAAATAATTTTAAAACATAAATTTTACTGCGATAAGCGTGAACTTATCATATTGATAGAAAAATCAATACTAAAGTTACAAAATTAAAGTAAAAATTTAAAAAATCGATATAAAATCAACGATTTTAAAAAGTTCAAATTCAAAAACCTTACAAATTGTTCAGTGAAATAACATTTGCAAGGTTCTCATATTTTTGTTTTGTTTCAAAAACATTTTTTTTGTGAATTTCCGTTTAAAAACAATATGAATATGCGTTGAAATAAATTAAGTTATCTAAAACACAAAGGAAAAGTTAAGAAACGAGGTAAAATGTGCAAAAAATGATCAAAATTTTCATTGTTTTGATACATTTTTTGGACTCAGGAACAAAACATGTAATTTTGTATGGATTCTTTGCCTCGATTTGAATAGATTCGATTTGAGTAGAAATTTTTTGGAACAAAACAACTACTCAAATCGAGGACCCCCAGTATTTACTTTTTGTATGAAAATGTCCGTTACAAATTTTTTTTTAAATTTTCTTTTCATTAATTTTCGTTACTCAAATCGAGGATCCATAGTACTTTTATAATATGGGCAATTCTTTGGATGCTTTTTGGAAAATTTTCAGCAAAAAATCGAAATTTTATTGATTTTTCCCATCAGAGACACTGATTTCATAATTATTATCGATGTGAAAATCTAAAATGTACACCACTTTTGATATCATATACTTCTAATCGCTGTATTAAGTTATTTGGATTCTTTAGTCTGCTTTAGTCAATAACTCGATGAGAGAAATCGGAATTTTCAATTTTCATCATCCGAAGAATCGAAAATTAGAGAAAACTATTGCTATCCACATTGAATAACTTTTACTGAGTTATAGAACAGACAAAAATCTTTAATTAGGTTGCTTTTCTGTGTGCTTTATTTCATCAATTAATGAAATATTTCAATTCTTTGACAAATTTCCTTGTGTTATCGAGTTATAAAAAAAGCTTTTTTTGTCTTAATTCGTGAAAAAATACAAAATTTTCAAGCATATTTTTCAACTTTTCTCTTAATTTGGGTGAGTTGTAACATTTCAATAGATCACTTGTAAAGAATTAATTATGCTTTATGATCTACGAAAGTTCTGGCTTATTATTCCTTCACAGTAATATGAAATTAAAGAAAACATTTTATTGACACAAAACTCATTGACATTGGATAATGAAAGCTCATTTTTTTTAAATCCCACTCATCCAAAGAATTTCCCATATAAAACGTATTCACGTGTGAATGTTATGTTTTTGTTCAGATTGAAAAATCAGTTTACGAATTTTGTGAGAAAATGTAGCAAGTTAGTTGAAAATGTCCAGATATAGTTTTGGATTAGATCCGTTCTGTCAATTTTAGTATATCCAGAAGATTTCGGATGGTACGGTGTGAATATATTCGCATTGGGTTTCTACCCTATACACTAATTAGCACTACGTTTTTTGGGGTTGTGTTGTTCACATATTGAACAACAAAAGAAAAAATACTTAATACTAAGTTTACATCGAAGTATGTACTGCTTAATAATGATTCTAAATATGTATAATGTTACCGTATAAAATGTAAGATCTACTGCAAACGACTGAGGATCGTGTTTTGTAGGAGGCAAATCACTGAGCATTGCGACCACTACAAGTTTTCCTCGTTTTAAGCTAGCAAAACGATGTTCGTATCCTTTGGGATGAATTAAATTTCGTCCTACTTTCCAATAAGCGTGTAGTCTTTCAAAAATGAAGAAAAAGCAAGTAAATAATTTTTAAACAAAATAACTTAAATTTTTTACCTTTCTTCGTATGTGTAATGTTGATTATTTGTAGATGTTATCGATAACATAGCGTTTTCGTGATATGCTTCCAAAAGCTGTTGGCGATTTTCAGAATCGTAAATTGCAAAATATTGTTCTAAGAACTTCGCAACAAAGTCTTGTCCAGAGCTATTAACCATGAACGATTGTTTCCAAATCGGGAAGTCCTTCTTTTCTTCTGATACATCAAAACCAATCGTTGGGCTCAATTCAACGCCATCCTTTTTATATGAAAATATATAAATGTTATAATTTAATGTAAAGTAAAAGAAAGACATATCTTACCAATTTTAGCAATTTTGGAAATTTCTTTTTGACTTCACTGTGAAAAAGTTTAATTTTTTGGAGAGCATTATTTTGAAGAAGTTACGATGTTATTAAACCTTATAAACAGTAACATGATATTTGATGTAAAAAAATTAAGACAACGAATATCGTTGAGAATATTTATAAAAATCATCTGATAAAATGCAAAATGTATAGAAAGAAATTATATTTCTAATTTTTTAAAGGTAAAATAATTACTGCACGCGTAAATTATTTAAATTTGTGTTATTATTACTTCTTAAACAAAGAAATTTTTGAAACTATTAAACACGTGGTCTTTAAAAATGGATTTCATGTATTTTTATATGATTGATAACTTTTTTGTAGTTTTTACAGTATAAATATTAAAAACAATTAGAGTTCTATATTATTCGAAAAGTACTTTTTATCATCAATATTTTTGTGTAAAAGGTAGTTTGATATATTCTATCTTTGGATACAATACGAAATTTACATGTGATAAACACAATTATTGTGCTTCATGAATTGCATTTAGCAACATTTCCATGAATATTGACTTATATAGTCATCACATTACATACATTCTTGCCGTAGTCATCTCATAATCATATTTATAAGAATATTATATTTCGTCAATGTAATTATTGTGATAGTTTTTTTTCAGTTGCAAGCCTTTACTTGATTGATGTTGCCTTCTTTATTTCTTATAGAACTGTCTATCTTAGTAAGACATATATTGTAAGACTTAAAAAATTATTTTTATCAAATTTAAATGCATGAAATGTATGCTTAAATATCACTTTCTTTGTAAATAGACAACAACAAAAATTTGTACATATAAAAAAATTATATCTAAAAAATACGAGTAATGCTAATGCAAAAATATAAAGTATTTCTAGACATTTTTAAGGATCAAAATTGATTCTAGAACTCTTTTCATAATTTTGACTATCATGTTATTATTTGTTAACATAGTTTACCAAACTATGTTTTCACTTTTGATAAAAAACAAAAAAAAACCCAATCAACTAGGTTAATTAACGAGTTATCACATTCCTGTTGAAAAAACCAAAAAAAAAATACCTGACATAATCTCCATTTTTTGCAAAACGCTTTTTAAACGGATTTCCTTCTAAGTAAAATTCAACAATAGGTAAATGTTTGAAAACTTCCAGTGAACTAAGCGATCCGATCTATTATATTATATATAAAAAACGCGATTAAAAATGAGTAAATTTGACTAGTCAAAATATCGAGGTCTTACCCGATTGTTGGCCAAATAAATAATTTTCAAGTGATGTAATTTTGATGATAAAATTTTTAGATGATCAAACATATTGAGTTTGTTCTCATTTAGGTTTAATGCCTCCAAATCAGGAATATTTTCAACGATTATAGAAATAACAGCAGACATTATTTGTGGTCTAAATAATGCACAAAAAACGTCCGATAAATCTTGATCTGCATGAAACTTTGTAAGATCAAGAGCTTTCGTTTGCGGATTATATCGTTTTACCATAGCAAGTTTCATCCTTTCTTTTAAGGTTTCGTCAACTTTTACGTGTGGAACACTTCCTCTAACTCTTATAATCATCTTAAATCCATCTGGTAAATTAAGCTTCTTGTCTTGTGTTAAAATCTTCGCTGCAATATCATAATCATCAACATAAAATTGAGCACAACTATTTTCCGTGTCTATTTTATAGTAATGTGCATTAAAAACTGTTGGTAGGAGAGCATTCATAAGAAGCTTTAGTAAAACGTCCTTTTCATATTTACTTCCATGGTGTATCGTTACTAAATACCATCCTGCATGATTTTGTATCAAATTCATTCCACCAATCCGTCTATTGGGAACTGGCGAACCTTTCCTATTACGAAATCTTCCTTTCTTTTTCATGTCATTAGAAGTGTTTTGAGCTAAATCATTACCCATATCTTCATCATCCAAAAATGCTTTGATTTTCATGTCACTTAATGATTTTGCATTATTATTTTTTGTCGTTTTAAAGCTAACGCGTCTGGATGTTTTAATAAAATTATTTGTACGATTATCGTGATCTAAATTATAAGAAAAAAGAAGCATTAAAAAGTATTATCTAAAATATGTTAATTAAGTCAAAAGTTACCATCATGAAATCGATAATTTGAATTTCCTCCTCGAAATTTATTTCCTCCTCTTCTGTGCATCATCTTTGTTACTAACTTAAAATCACTCTACACTCAAATTATAAAATTTTATTTGTTTCCTTTCCTTTTGGTTCTTAACTTTATTAAATTCAATTTTTAATGATTAAAGCATGAAATTGTATTTCTCTAAATTGACGCAAGTATTGTGATATTTACTATATTTAAATAATTATTTATTACAAATTTTTGTATGAACTGGGGATCCTCAATTTGAGAAGATTCGATTTTAACATGATTCACACTAAAAAATTATATTTTCATATCAATGACTACCGACGAATAATCCCAAGTCAGTGATTTTAAAATTTAAAAAGACCAAAAGTAAATTTTATTGAAAATCTCAATTAGAAAGTCTGAATTCGATAATATAATAATTAATAATTGTTATTTAATTAATGATACAACATAATGAATATTTTTTACACATTTAACTCATAGTTTATAACATTCCATATAAAAATTTGAATTTGAAGTAAAGCCGCAATAAAAAAGCGAAGCTTAAAATTTTCAAAAGCATTAAATACGGTCAAACAAAAATTAATATCCGACAGTTTTATGAATGCGAAATCATTGTAACTGGGCCTCGTCACAAAAAAATTGTATGCGAGATACGCTATGTTATTCTTAATTATCTCCTTATTCTTAAAAGTGACAAATTTCAAGGGTCAGACACTCCAAAAGTATTGTAATGTATTGTACAATACTTTACAATACATATGAAAGTATTGTAAGTATTGTACAATACCTACAATACTTACAATACTTGTATGACAAGTATTGTAGGATTGTACAATACTTGTATGACAAGTATTGTAGGATTGTACAATACTTACAATTCTTACAATACTTGTATGGAAAGTATTGTAAGTATTGTAGTTTTTACAAGACAGTTTGAGAAACATTTGTCATATGAATTTGATTATAATTGACGGTTTTTATGTAGTTTCTCGTGTTTTTTTACATTTTTTGAACCAAAATTTGATGAAAATACATAATTAGTAATTTTGAACTAAATATTTTTAAGTTTTAATTGAAAAATAACATTAAAATTTTTGGTAATAAAGTCATTTTTCAAAATTGTCAATAGCAAAAAAGTATTCTGGCTCGAAACAAAGGCGATATAACGCCAGATGCAGCCGAAAATATCAAACATTATTAACAAAAACATAGATAAGATGAGAATATTAGACATTAGTCTCCTCATATTAGAGGAACTTTAACGTTTGCTTCAATTTTATAGGATAACACCGAGGTTTAGTTTTTTTATAGCGCTTTAAGTCATATCATTACATTGCTATGCCTCGATTTAAGTTTGTTTCTTTAAAGTTTACTTTGCTTTTAGTAAGGACATTTTTCATCAGAAATTTTCAGTGAATTTTCCCGAAATGATATATATTTTTGTATTAACTAGGCATTCACGATTTCCCGGACCCAAAAAAGTATCGGGAACTGGACAAAAATTTAAACTCAAATATCAAACATGCTCCTGGAAATTTGGAAGATTTTTTTGTGTTTAAATGACTTTTTAATTGAGATAATTTGACATTAAATTTTTTTGGATAACAATATTGCTATTCATCGAGTTTCTGTCCCAAAAATTTCGGGAACAGGAAATCGTGAAAGTCTAGTATCAACTATGAGAACTAAAAAAAATAAGAATAATTTTGACAAAGATAGAAGAAAATATACAGTGTTATATTGTCTTAGAGATGCAGTTCTTGAAAATATGTATTTTCAAAAAAACATGCTATAAAAACCATTTGATAAGTTTGTTAAATTTGATTCCTTTTTCATCGCCTTCTTGTCAAAGGTAAAAAAATTCAAATCGTCAAAGTAATGTTTGAATACACTTAAAACCTTATACTTTGATCAAAAAATTTGTATTAAACGTAATGCAGTTTGCTATAGAGAGTGATAAATCTTGTGAAAATGAAACCAATCTATTTAATTTTGATTATTATTAATATTATTATTTCCTTATTGACATTTAATATTAGTTTACATAATAAACTTCGTACCTGTATGGTTTTATGCATGAGAATTGTACGAAATCAATTCTTGATTTGCATCAGTCTAGCTTTACAAAAGAATTTTGAACTTTTTACCATTTTTATAGCCATTACATAATTTGAATGGAAAACTGAAATTTGTGCTAGTTTTTCATGAAATATCCATGCTAATTTTCAACAATAATGTTAATTTATCAAAAGAAGTTGTTATTTATCAATATTTGTCAAAAAAAGTATTAAATTTGGTTTTACAAATTGTTGAAAACTCAAAAAATATTTAATTTCTTTTAAAATTTGGTTCTTGAATAATTAAATTTCAGTATTGTAAGTATTGTAAAGTATTGTAAATTTATATGAAAAGTATTGTAAGAATTGTACAATACTTACAATACTTACAATACTTATATGGCAAGTATTGTAAGTATTGTAAGTATTGTACAATACTACAATACTTGTATGGAAAGTATTGTAAGTATTGTAAGTATTGTACAATACCGTACAATACTTTGGAGTGTCTGACCCTTGACAAATTTGAAAGTTATCTATACTTAAAAAAATCACTTTAAGGGCAATTCCATGAAACGATTTTTTTACAAATTTATTTATACAAATAAGCTTTTCGTAGGCCCTTAAAATAATCATTTTCTACTTAATTATCTTTCTTTCCTTTGCACTACGAAAACATTAATTAAAGTTTAATTAAATAATTTGTTCCAATGAATTTCCATACAGAAAAAGTTTATCATTTAGGGGTCATTCACTTATTACGTAACGCTTTTAGGGGGGGGGTCTAAGATTTTGTTACGGTTCAAACAAGGAAATTTTTTTTTCATACAAATTTTGTTACGAGGGGGGGGAGGGGTCTAAAAAGTCATTTTTTCGCGTTACGTAATAAGTGAACAGCGTGAAGTGAACAGTGAATTTGTCGAGATATAGTGTATTTTTCAGAGATCGAAGCCGATTTTTTCGGCTTAACTTAACTTTTGATTTTTTGAGCTATTTAACATACATTTCAAGTATTTATATTGGACTTTACATGCTTTACTATGATTTTGTGTAATATTTTGTCAGCATGTAGCTATAGTAAGCTCAGAATTTCAAGTTAAACGATGTTAAGCTTATAATCGACTAAATTGAAATTCTGAGCTCACTATAGCTACATGCTGACAAAATATTACACAGAATCATAGTAAAGCATGTAAAGTTCAATTTAAATACTTAAAATGGTAGTTAAATGGCTCTTTTCTATCAAAAAAATCAAAAATTGAGTTAAGCCGAAAAAATCGGCTTCGATCTCTGGTATTTTTGATATCTGACGACTTGTATGTTTTTTTTTTTCATCACTCAAACCACTAGTACTTTTACAAAACAAAATATTTTTAAATTTGTTTTCAGTTTATTATAGCCTAAGTCAGTACCTTTCTAATGATGTATAATACTTGATGGTTGACTTTGATCTTGGTTATGAATATGTATGAATCTCAAAAACGTTACTTCTAGAAATACCACTTAGAAACAAATTTAAGTATTGATTTGTGATTTTTTATGATGATTAATGATAGTTGTGACTATTAAAACTCAAAAATTTCCATTTAATAAACTTTTTGCTATCTCAGGTAGCTTTTAAGGTACGACCCTAGTAGTCTCTATTGGCTCTGAAAATCTAAAAGATCAGATTATTTTTCAGAGTTTTTTTGATTTATATTTCATATTGAAACATATTTGATTCAAAATACATTACTTTTAGATAAATTTGATGAGTAAATTCTTGATTTTGGCTATTTTATTGAAGTTCAGCTAGCGTCGGTCACTTTCAAGCCTCTCCCATGAAAGGTATGATAAAGTTTCATGCAAGGATTATGCATCGCTTTAAAGGTATTATTTTGAACTAGCAATAATCAAAAACAGATTGCAAAAATATTAATTCTGAAAAAAGTAATAGTCATTTGAGTGGATCAAAATGCATACAGACAGTTGCAAACTAGATCTCAACGTGAACAGACGTGTTTACAAATCGCTCCGCAATTTATTCAAAAAATTTCAAAAGAAACAAAACAGAGAAGCCTGAGAAGCTTTTTGTTTGCAAAAAGTTTTGCAAAATCAGCACGGACTTAATAGTTCTCAACAACAACATTCATCTTAGGTGACAATTCTCAATATTGAGGAAATCATCAATGAAAATGTTTCGCAAGCAGCCGACATTGAGATGACAAATCTCAAACCAAAAAAACAAACAACAATGAAGAAGTTTTTCAATGAAGCTGGTAAGGCGGAAAAACGCCCTCGAGAAGTGATAGTTCCCAGCGCTCCTTTCAAAAAAGTAGCAAACGAAAGCAAACCAAAAGATGAGAACAAACCACTGTTCAAACTCCCTCCAATGAAGAAAGCTTTGTCTTCTGGAATACCGCATCTATTTGGTTCACCAGAATAGGAGACAAAAAGAAGACAACTCCATCGTACTGGGGAGAAAACAGCAAAACATCTGAGCAACAAAACAAAAGATAATTTCCGTAAACACGGAAAGCAACAACAACAAATCTCAACAAAAATCAAAACCACCTCCAATTGTCATCAGCACAGGTGGAGCTGGTGAAATCAAGAGGTTGACGAATGAAATAAATCAATCTGAAAGTTTCTTAATTGAGACCAAAAAGGGCAAATAAGGAACAAAAACGGTAACAACGGAGAATCGGGATGACTACGAGAAATTCATCCAACTACTCAAATACAAAAAGCATCACTTCCACACATACTCCAGCCAAGAACCACTGAAGAAGTACGTACTTTATGGACTGACTCCCAGATATGGAAATCAGTGAGTTGGAGAAGGAACTTCAAACCGTAATAATCACACCAGTAAAAATTGTCAAAATGACAATGAAACACAAAAGACACGAACAAGACGACGACCAGAACTACCTCGTGTACTTCAAAAAAGATGTAGAACAAGGTGGAAATTTCCTGAAATTCCTCAGAAAAATCAAAATTTTCAGCAATTTCAAAATTAAATGGGCTGACTACAAAAATAGACAAGCTGGACAACTCAATGTTCGAAACGTCTGCAGTTTGGTCATGGACAAAACGGTTGTAACAAACCTTCCGTTTGCTTCAGATGCTCTGAGCAACATGACTCGAAAACGTGCCAGTTCATATCGAAACAGACCAACAAGGTTCCACTCGGAAAACTCAAATATTTCTTCTGCGGTGAAAAACATACAGCAATTTTCACAGGTTGTAAAACCAGACAAGAAATAATAGAAAAGTGGAAATCAAAATCACAGAATGGAAACAACCGAAATCAAAACAAAACAGCAGGCCATTATTCATATGAACAACTTGGACAACGGAGAAACAATCCTCCAATTCCACATCTTCCTGAGCGATCAACCAGAAACGTCCAACATGCACCAAAACCTCAATGGAGAAAGAAGAAAGTGGAACCAAAAACATCTAGTACACAAAAGCCTGCTCATCAAAAACAAGCTCCAGTCAACCACAAACCAAGGAACACAAATCCTCCTTCAAATCACAAACCCTTAAATCAGGGAAATAAATATAACTTGAACAACCAACAAAACAATAAAGAAAGAGGAAAAAATTGGAAAAAGAATCTAAGAAAAAAGCAAAACGAGCGCATTAATAACAATCAACATCAAAAACCAAAGCAAGATGTTGAGCTTATGGACTCAGAAGATATCAGTTCAACAAGTCACAAGTCAGACCTCGAATGAAGTCTTCCCAGAACCTTCATTCAGTGTTGAGGTAGTGAATCGAAACATAACAACTAATCAACAAGCTCAAAGCACCAGCACAAGAGATAAAAATATCTCAGAAATAGAGGAATCAAAGTGCAAGTACTTCATCAGCGAGCTTCTCAAATTAATCGCCAAAAATCCAGAGTTCATCGACGAAATACTCCAAGCAATCGGATCAAACGCCAAAAACACCACATACAATAATGGATTGTGGACAACAAAGTATTAACGTCCTCTACTGGAATGCTAACGGCTTCAATGACAAAATGTTAGCATTCCTCGACTACCTAAGCAAGCATAACGTCGATGTTGCTTGCATCACAGAAACATTCCTAAAACCAAACTCAAAAATTGACTTGCATCCAGACTACGTAATTCATCGATTGGATCGCGTGGATAGACCAAAGGGTGGTGTTGCAATCATCGTCAAAAGAAATCTAAAACATCAGCTTCAACCAAGCTACAACACAAAACTAATGGAATGCATTGGAATAAAAGTCTTCTTCAATGACACGGATAGTTGTCACATCCTCAACTACATCTGTGGAGACTTCAATGCAAAACATCGAGAATGGAACTGCAACGTTGCAAATAAATCAGGAAATATTCTTCAGGAAATGTCAGGAGAGTTCATGATCTACTTTCCTGACTCGCCAACGTACTACCCAGAAGATCGAAACAAATCAGTGTCAACAATTGACCTGATGCTCTCGAATTCCAACCTCGAAACAACAGAACTTCAATGCACAGAGGCAATGAGTGATCACTGCGCTGTGTATTTCCTATTCAAAACATCAAAAATCGACAGAACTGAAAATACAGTCTACAGATATGACTACAAAAACGCAAACTGGAAAAAGTTCAAAGCACAAATTTCACGCCACATCGAAGACAACATTGGAGAAAATCCTTGCAATACAGCAGAGGAGATTGAGAATCACATTAAGATTCTCTCTGAACTCATCATGGAAGCGAGGAACTCAAGTGTAAAAATGAAAAAGATCAACTTCGAATCAACTAAACTCACACCTGAGATTAAAGATCTAATCAATACAAAAAGGAGTCTCCGTCGAAGATGGCAGAGAAGCAGAGATAATCAACTCAAATCTGAATTGAATTATCTGCAGAGAATCATCAATGAAAAAATTAAAGAACTCAAAAACAAAAACTGGAATAAGCGTCTCTCAGAGATTCAACCGTCAAACCAAACAGTTTGGAGAATAGCAAAATTTAGCAAAAAAATGTTCAAAAACAATGCCTTCATTGAAAAATTTGGGTAAAACGTTCATCACCAACAAAGAAAAAGCCAGCGCACTCAGTGAGTATTTTCGTGAAGCTCACGAAAATCCTCTGGAACAAAACGACCCACAACATACACAGGAAGTAAACAACACAGTCAAAGAAGCATTGGAACAAGACAATGATGAGAATCCAGAATTAACAGATGTAAACGAAATCGTGAGCATCATAAGAAATCTGAAAAATCCAAAAGCTCCGCGACTAGATGAAGTCAACAACATACTCATCAAAAATCTTCCTGAAAAAGGTTTCGAACACTTGAAATTCATCATCAATTCGTGTTTGAAACCCAATCACTTCCCCAAAGTTTAGAAACACGCAAAAGTGATTCCTATTCCAAAACCTGGAAAACCAGCAAATGAGTTAAGCAGCTACAGGCCAATAAGTCTACTCAGCTCAATAAGCAAAATACTGGAGAGAGTATTGCTGAACAGAATCAACGATCATCTTGAGGATATCAACATCATCCCAAGCCAGGAGTGCGGCTTCCGGACCGGAAGATCAACATCTCATCAGCTCATCAAAGTGATCAAATCAGCAAAAGAAAACTTAAACAACAAAAAGTCAACAGGCATGATCTTCCTGGATGTAGAAAAAGCATTTGACAGAGTCTGGCATAACGGACTCTTGTACAAAATGCTCAAACTGAGATTTCCACTGCCACTTATAAAAACTGTAAGATCTTTCCTCAGTGAAAGATCTTTCGCAGTTTTTATTAAAGGTCAGTTTTCAGAAATCAAGGTAATCAAATTCGGAGTGCCACAAGGAGCAGTGCTTTCACCAACTCTCTACAACATCTTCACGTATGATGTTATAAAAGAGACAACCAACAACATCGGTCTTTTCGCAGATGATACAGCACTGTATCATTCTGCAGAGAACTCGGTCGATATTGTGACACATCTACAGTACACAAGAAGAAAAGTTCAACAATACATGAACAAATGGAAGATCAACCTCAACAAACAGAAGACTCAAGCCTTATTTATCACAAATAGACACTCCAGGCAACTTCCGGGAAATAACATCAAATTTCTCAACGAAAACATCAAATGGATCAAAAAAGTGCTTAGCCCCTCAAACTGTAAACAACAAAAATTATTAAATTATTTAAAAAATTAGCTTTTTGGAGTCCTAATTGCACTATCTATAGTATAGATAGATAAATACATCTCAATTCTATTCTGAGTGTTAAAGTGAAAATGGGTGCTAGAAAGCGGATAAAATCAAGATTACCGAACTCGTTAAAAAGTGTCGAGGAGAAAAAGGTTAAGCCTGATAGAAAACATCGAAGATGATTTACCAATAACACCAAAGTCAATTATATCGCAGCTAACTGAAATTCAAGGAGAAAACAAGCCAGTTAAGCCGATATATGATAGCGCGAACATTCAAGATACTAAAAAAAGAACAGAAAAGTGTGAAAAATCAAACAAATTTATTTTAAAAGAATTTTATGATGTTACATAAGATGAATTACTTCAAAAGCTCAAGAAGGAAGATATTTCAGCTCTCAAAGTGACTGAATTCATTCGTAAGAATAAATTCATTTGGTTCATGGTGCATTTTGACAAGATAATTACTTTGGATATGCTGAATCGCTTGCATCGTAGCGTCGATGGAATAATGATCAGATGGGAAAACTTAAAGAAGTAAGTGCCTTGCTGGTCGAATAGGTAAGGCGCTTGGCTCAAATTTGGGATGGTAACTCGAAGGTCGTCGGTTCGAATCCAGCCATTTCCAAATTTGTTCTTTTTCGGAAGTTTAGATACGTCGACTGCTTAATGTACGAGATCAAGCCATAATTGGGCATTTGGGCAACGTTGGATTGAGGAACGGGTCAGGAACTTAGAGTGTAGCGGGAGAAACAGGAACGAGAGCTACAAGATTATCCACGAATGGAATATTGTTAGAACGGACCTGAAAAGTATCACGTCACGCCTACAGAAGATCGAAACGAGAGCCTTAGTTTATTTGAAACCTAGATTTGAAGATTAGAAGTTTGATCCTACATAATATTAATTCATATGTATACAAATACAAAAGTGTAAAATGTGAATTATTACCGGACAGTATGTCGTCAATAAATGCAATAAAGTGCAATTAAAATGAAAAAAAAAAAGTCAAGTAAGGACGCAACTTAATGCTACAATTGTCAAGAATGGGAACATGCTTCGATCAATTGTGGACTTCAAGCTAAATGTGTTAAGTGCAATGCATCACACCCAAAAGGAAAATGTCTGCGTTCAGTTAGAGACGATAAAGTCGTCTGCTGCAATTGTGGAGGTAATCACTCAGCAAATCATCGAGATTGTTCTGCATATAAGAAATATGTAGAAGCAAAAGTACCACGTCCTAATAATTTAAAGATAACAATCAAGAAGCCAACCGAACTTTCATCGAAACAATTTCCACAATTGCCGAATCAAGGAAAAGTAATGAGCAATAATGGGAACGAGAAAAGTCAAGCTTCATCATACAGATCGGTCATATCAAGTCATATAACTAAAAGAAGCAGTCAAGATTGAAGGACTTTTCAAGAGATTAGCTAACGCCCAAGAAAAGTTGCGAAAAATTCCAAACATAGAAAAGACAATCAACGATTTCTGCAACTTCGTGGACGAACTAGCAGAGCTTCCAAATACCAATGCTTTAGAAAATCCAGAATCTGACGAGGAGTCAGAAATTGAGGAAAATGACGAGGAGATGGAGGAAGCAGATGAAAATAAGGAAGATAGTGGAGACTTCACAAACTCTACAATTAGAGGCAATGGCGATGGAACATCTACCTAACGGGTGACACATGAAGGACAGAGAATCCCATTAATTAGATTTAAAAATGTAGACAAATCCAAATTGTAGTTTTTGTTTGGAACAGTGCAAGTCTTTAAATAGCTCTTTGCTGACGGACCATAATAAAAATAATAATAATTTATCAAATGGGAAACAGAAACTAAATATCTGGGAATGGTGATCGACAATTGGGCTCACACCGCATTAAGACAGCTTTATCCGCTCATCAGCAGGAACTCACAACTTGACGTACGAAACAAACTTCTCATCTACAAGCTAGCCATCAGACCAATATTCACATATGGTTGTCTAGCTTTTGGAAGCATGGCAAACCCCACCCACCTTCAAAAACTTCAAGTACTGCAAATTAAATTCTTGAGAATTGTTCTCAATAAAACAAGATATCAACAGTCGTCTTGCATCTCTAAACACCGAATAAATCAAATTAAATACAAAAGAAAGTTAAATCCGTAAATGAAATCAAAAATTAAGAGACAAAAGGCAAATTGAATGACTGAAACCTTAAAAAACAACAAGCAACAAATGTACATGCTTAAATTTAAATGCAAATAAATAAAAAGTTTAATTTAAAAAAATTACAGAAGTCCTCGTGTTATTGATCGAGGGACTTAAGCGCATTTTTGTGTTAACGATCAGCATTTGATTGTCTATATATTTTGCGTTCATTTACAGATCATTAGAAGATTAGAAGATCATTGATTTTAGTGCAATTAGCAAATAATTACAATGAATGCTTATATAGAAAAGCTTTATTATTTAACGGTCAATAAATAATTTGAAATTTTCCCGCTAAAAGTTGCACTTAAAAAACAATGATTTTAGTATAATTAATTATTTGTAGAAATGAATTTCCATAAAGAAAAAGTTTATCATTTAACGGTTTTTTGAGATTCAAATTTTCTATCGGTCAGTAAGTTTTTGAAAGCTTTCCGCCAAAAGATACACAAAAAATCATTATTTATAGTATATTTATCAATTTAATATCTTTCATTCTCCTATATAAATTGTTTATCATTTAACGGTTTTCTGAAGTTCAAATTTTGTAACGGTCGTATGCATTTGAAAGTATCTTGCCAAAAGTTACAGTAAAATCATTAATTATAGTATAAATAACCGTCTGTTGCAAAAAATTTTCATTTAAAAAGGCTTTGTAATTCAACGGTTTTTTGAGATTCAAAAATTTTTAACGGTAGAAATAAATTCGAATTTCTAAACGCTCTCATCACGTGTTTTTTCATATGAAATATAAAAATCATTAATTATAGGACAAAAAGACTGTTTCAAGACTTTTAAATGCGTTTCCCGAAAATAAAACAATGGACCTGAGCTAATAAAACAAACTAGATCTCTCTACGATGTCTAGTTAAAAAGTTTTTCTCCGCCCGAACGAACAGAGATAGTGAGATATTAAGCTACCTTTTCGAAACGAGTTTCAAAAATGCGCTAAAAAAGTATTTTGTGTACCCTATGATGGTTATCGACTTTGAGTGCCTATTAAAACAACGAATTTCAAAAATTCGAAACTTAATTTTTATGAAGCTTCATTTTTTCGAAAAATTCTTCATGCAAAATTTTGAGATTTAAAAACATTCTAATCTTTGAATTGAAAACATTTTAGCATGTTTAGAAATGGTAAAAATACACTGAAACTGAAATAAATCCAAAAACCCCATCTGGATTGAAAAATCCCATCTTAATTTGAATAAGTGAGAAAAAATACTTATGATTTGATGTAGTGTCCATCAAGTAGAACGGTGACCTTACTAATTAAGTGATGGACTATATATTGGTTTTTTGTGCTATTTTGTGAAAGCAGAAAAATAACTTTTTTAAATTTTGTGAAGTTGCCAGTTCTGAGATATGAGCATCTGAAAACGGAGCTAGGGCCGATTTTTTACTTTTAACACTTTCGACTGTAAATCTGACAAGGCTTAACGAAAATTGTTCAAACTTGGTCAGTAATTTGTGCAAATGTTTCTTAATCAAATAAAATAAACGAAATATTTTTATCTAGCCTTACTGCGAAAATATGGGGATTCTACGGAAGGACCTAGAGCAAAATTAGCTACTATTTTACACTTTCGACTGTAAATCTGACAAGGCTCGACGAAAATTGTTCAAACTTGGTCAGTAATTTGTGCAAATGTTTCTTAATCAAATAAAATAAACGAAATATTTTTATCTAGCCTTACTGCAAAAATATGGTGATTCTACGACAGGACCTATTGCAAAATTAGCTACTATTTTACACTTTCGACTGTAAATCTGACAAGGCTCGACGAAAATTGTTCAAACTTGGTCAGTAATTTGTGCAAATGTTTCTTAATCAAATAAAATAAACGAAATATTTTTATCTAGCCTTACTGCAAAAATATGGTGATTCTACGACAGGACCTATTGCAAAATTAACTTATTCTTTCGGTAGAATCCCCATATTTTCGCAGTAAGGCTGGATAAAAATATTTCGTTTATTTTATTTGATTAAGGAACATTTGAACAAAATACTGACCAAGTTTGAACAATTTTCGTTAAGCCTTGTCAGATTTACAGTCGAAAGTGTTAAAAGTAAAAAATCGGCCCTAGCTCCGTTTTCAGATGCTCATATCTCAGAACTGGCAACTTCACAAAATTTAAAAAAGTTATTTTTCTGCTTTCACAAAATAGCACAAAAAACCCATATATAGTCCAACACTTAATTCGTTAGGTCACCGTTCTACTTGATGGACACTTTGATGTATATGATCTTGATCTTAATTTTTTTCTCGAATTTTTGGATATGCTTAGGTACGAGGCTAGAATGTACTGGAACTGCCATATCCGAATAGACAAAGAGCACGTTATGAGCGCGCTCAAATTTAGTGCTGAGCATGCTCGCATTAGCGTGCTCTTTCATACGAAAAGTGATGCCACTACTTTACGCTAATGAGCACGCTTTATAAACATGCTCTGAGCACGTTATTTTATTAAATTTTGAGCATGCTCAAATTTTTGTGTGACATGCAACATTTTTTATGTCATATAATGTGACATTTGAGTACACTCAGTGAGTATGCTAGTGTTAGTACTCACATTATAAAATAATTTTTTAAAAAAATTTTATATTATTTTTTGATATATTTTGCTGTTTAAAAGGTTTTTTAATTTTCTAGAATAAATTTTGTTCGTTACTAATCTGAAAAAGACAAATAAGAAAATTTTAGATTTTACCTGGATTTGAACTCACGACCGCTCTGTTGCTAAGGCCATTACTGTAACCATTACAACACTGCTGCAATTTATTTATGTAACTTAGTAAGGCAAAAACTCATATTTAAACTTTGACTTGAAAAGTATATAAAAAATCAAGAGCATACTCTGAGTATGCTCAATATATCTACTCTTGAGCACGCTCAATAAAATGTGAAATATTTAAAAAAAAATTGTTTTTTGTGAGCATATTCACAATGTGCTCACAAGCATGTTCAACTGAGTGTGCTTAGGTGAGCACGTTATATGATAATTTTGAGCATGCTCATTAACGTGCTCACAAAAGTGAGCACGCTCTTTGTCCATTCGGGATAAGTTTCAAATTTCGAGCTAAAATATCATCAGATAAGGAACACTGAGAAAAAACTCATATATTTTGACATACAATATGGTCCTAATAAATTTTTGAAACTTTGATGATGTTCAGGTACGAGATGGAACTGGAACTGCCACAAGTTCAGAATGACAGGTTGGACTTAAATAATTCTATCATATTTAAGCTGTTGAGGAAAAGGAGACATGTTTTGATATATAACATGATAGGTTTTTGAGGGAAAAAAATATTGGTCCACAAGTAGTACTCTCCAAAAGTTTGACAGTCCATAACTCTTGCAAGTTATATCTGTTTCCAAAAATTTTTGCAGGGCGAAATTAGACGTAATTAGTAGATCCATTTTCATATATAATTTGGCCCTAAAAGTATAGTTCCTATAGTTATTCCCGCTGAAAAAGTGAAGTACGCGGGAAAGATACCCAAAAACTTGTAAAGGGTATATTTAGTTATAGGAAGTAGGACGAAAATATTTAAATGCTGGACGTAAATAGACGTAATATGGACGTAATTCAGGCCAAGTTTCATCACTCCCTGCCAACTTGCTCCCGCGTACTTTACAGACACTTAAGGTGTTTTTTCAGAATTTTTGAACATTTTTTCCGAATGCGAATCATTGTGAATTCACAAAAAAAAAATTCAAAGTGTCGAAAAAATATTGTGCACAAGGAATTTTTAAACACTTTTTTTCAAATCTGAATTATTGTATGTTCGTAACAATGAAGTTACGAAATTTTAAAATTCGTTAATTTAATAGACACTCAAGTAAATGAGTATTATCAAAAAAAATTGAGTAACTCGAGTATTGAGTATGAGTAAAGTTTTAACCTCGGGCCCTGAGATGTTTTTACATTCATGTAAAACCCCGACCTATTAATTTACTTCAAATTGCTAGGGTTTTTCGACCAATACCAACCTCCCCCAATCCTTAATTATATCGACCAAACAAAAAACATCCCCAACCCTTTTTTATTACGTATAATGTGTTTGGTTCAAATATTTCAATATAATAAAAAAATATATACATTTAACTTCAATGTAAAACTGAATAATGGGTGTTGGTTAAAAATAAAGAGAACGAAATCAACCAATGAAAAATGTATAATTTTATAATTTTACATTTGTATTTGTGAGCATGTGGTGAGAGTAAAACTTCTTTAAGTTGATGATTTTTTTCATTGAATTTCTGTTCTGACACACTGTCAGTTGATTTTCTGCTTCCAAAGGAATAAGCTGTGGAAACGATTTTAAAAAAATATTTATTTGATGGTTTTAGTTAGAAAAAAGTTTATATAGGTTTAAATGAAAACATGTAGGAATAAATATATCACAAAATAATAATAATAATGAAAAATTTTAAACAAAGAAAATTATTGAAGTAAATGCAAAAAAGTAAAAATCA